CAACCCAGGTGGCCAGAAAGGCCCAACAGAGACTCCATTTCCTTGAGGTCTCACAAAAGAATAAAGTGGAACAATGAACAAATGATGACCTCCTTTTACCAGTCCACAATAGAAAGCATCCTGACACATATTGCATTACAGAGGGTGGTGAGTACAACACAAAACATCAAGGGCTGTTCCCTGATACCACTAGATGACATCGCTAGGGCTCGCTGCCTTGGAAGAGTGAGGAAAATCCTCAGGGATGACTCACATCCCAGTCAGCACTTCTTCAGTCTCCTACTATCGGGAAGGAGATACAGAAGCATAGCCAGCTGCACCAACAGACTGAAGAACAATTTCTACCCATGGGCTGTCAGACTTCTGAATGGAAAATAATTTCATGTCAGCATAGTATGATAGACTTGCGAGGCGAGCGCATTGTGCAATAAGCTCACATAGGGTAATAAGATTGGGTCTGAGTTAGGGACTTCTGTCCTCACTGTGAGTTGTGTTGGGTGGGTGCATGAAAGGAGGCTCAGCCAATCTCATTGTACACATGTTGTACTCTGACAATAAAGGTAATAAGTTAAGTATCTATGAGGCCACCTCTGGCCAAATGTTGACTAAAGTTGAGATAACTAAAAATTGTTTTTTCTCCAACCCTTTTCCTCTACATCTTCCATGTATTCCCCTTCCATTGACCTGTTGGTTATGGGGACCATTGCAAACCATAAGGACCACTCGGTCTATCAATTATTTCTTCTTTTCTTACTCTTCACAAATGTTATGTCAACCTCTTTCCATCCTGTAGCCAGGATGAAAACCAATGCCTTTTGCAACATCTTTCTTACTTTGAACAATGTTATAACGGCACCGTAACACACACTGAGCAGGAAGAAAATGTAGAACATCACGACAGTTGTCCACAATTGCTTCATCTCTTCTTCCTTCTTTGTACTGTAATTGTTCTCGATGGCCACGGTTGTCTCTGTGAAATGAGAAAGAGACTTCAGTCTGGGGTTTTTCATCAACGCAAAATATCCAATGTCCATTTCCCCATTAAAGTGCTTTGTTTCATCATAAGCTTGGGTCCTTTATACCCATAAATATGATAGAAAGATAGTGAATCTCTATCCATTACAGACGGATGGATGTCCACTAAAGGGTGAAGCATACAATGTCTACTGTGTGATATATTATTTTTAGTTTTTGGATTTTATTCTGAATTATTAGGCTATGTCTACTTAGTTATTCAATTTATTTCAGTTCTTCCTTGTACACCAAGATAGGAAAGAATTGCTTAGGATTATATCCTCTTCCTCTGTGGTAGATCTGAATTCTTCTCCATCAATTTATATAACCTGATATTGTGCTATCAAAGCAGGTCTGGAAAAGTCATAAAAGAGTAGTCCTTGACTTACGACCGGTAGATTAGCCACCATTCAAAGTCAGAACGGAGCTTCTAAAAGGTATTTATTATCAGTGGTGGGATTCAATTTTTTACAACCAGTTCTGTGTGTGTGGCTTGGTGGATATGGCAGGGGAAGGATACTGTAAAATCTCCAGTCAGAAGTTATATTTTGCAGATCTCTGAACTACTCCGAATTTCTGCTATCGGTTCTTCAGAACTGGTCCAAATCTGCTGAATACCACCTCTGCTTATTATCTAATTTAGAACTCCTTGTAACTGGACCTCTTCTGTGATCACATGAACACATTTTTGGGTGAATGGCAACCAGGCCACATGTATGACCATTTGCAATATCCCACAATCATGTGACCATGATTTTCAGCATTTTTTGGGTTTGTGTGTGTGTGTGTGTGTGTGTGTGTGTCAGAATCTAGGGTTTATTTCTGGTTTACAGCAAAAAAGGTCCATTGGGGAAAATAGGTTTGCTTAAGGACTGCTGCTTTCACTTAATGAATATTGTAAAAAATAATAATCATAAAATTGGCTGGCTTAACGACCGCCATGATTTACAACCATAATTCTATGCCCAATTCCAGTTGTAATTTGAGGTCTACATGTTTAGGAAGCCCTTGCTTGTCCATAGATCACCAAAGGGGATCATGTGATCCCAGGACACTGCACCTGTCATAAGTATGAACCGTTTTGTCATGCCCCTGGTGCAGACTCTGAGGCAGAGGAGGAACAGCCAACAGGGAGTGGAAGTGTGGCTCTGGAGGTTGTGGAGGAAGCTTGGGAAGGGTAGAGGCCGGCTGGGCAGTCAGAGGAGGAACCAGGCCCATCCCCTATCTATCCTAGGGCATGCAGGGAGGAGAGGATAAGGGAGAGACATGGTCTACTCAGGAGGAGAGGGCCTTGAACCTCTTCATGGGCTGCAGCTGTGACAACTGAATAAGAGGATGGACATGTGTCTGGGCGAATGCTGGAAACAAAGCATGGAATTATCTTTAGTTTATGGTTTCTTTCTGAGTTTGGCGTCCTTCCCAATGTGTGTTCTGTTATCTGCGGACATCTTCCAGCCCTTATCTTGCCTGGTTTGAGTTGCTTTTTCCCTCCTTCTCGTAACTGTTTGTGTGGGAGTTTTTTGTCTTCCGTCAAGGATATTTGAAGCTTGGAAGCAAAGTGAAGCAATAAAAGGGGCTTCACTGGGTTTTTGTGACTGTGTTTGTGTTGTATTCCACCCTGGGTCGTCATACAGTTGCCAAACATCCAACTTTTGATCACGTGACCATGGGGATGCTGCAACGGTTGCAAGTGTGAAAAACAGTCATACTTTTTTCAGTGCCATTGTAACTTTGTACAGTCACCAAACAAATTGTTGTAAGTCAAGGACTACTTGTACTAGAAGCCTCTTCACCGAATTCAAAATCCGAATGCCAATATTCCAAAAATATTTGGCCTATGTATTGTAAAGTATTCACTATTTGCCATTCTTCTTTTTTCCATGTTTCTTCTGTGTTGCTCCTCAGCTACTAGAGAGCAGATTCTTACAAAGAATAGGGAGTGTGATTATTTTATGGTGCTTGACAAAATGTTTTTAAATTAGTTTGTGATGTCTGAGAAGTCTTAATGTTTGTTTTCCAAAATCATGGGTGTTGGTTATAATCTGCTTAGAAATCTATTTTGTGGTCTCTTGATTTTGAAGAATAACATTTGAAATGTCAGAAATGTTTGGAGCATTTTGTGATGTTTGTGTAATGTCAGAAAATGCTTATGTACTCTTTGAGTCAATTGGTCTTAATGAGTCTTATTTTATTTTGCTTTTCTTTTTTTCTCTTTATGGACCAATTGTGAGTTTGTTATTATTATTATTTTTGAGTCTTGATTGCATGGTTAGAATAGGATGCTCAAGCATCTCCCCCCCCATCCAATTTATATTATGAAAATAAAGATCTTGATTAGGCCAAATGTTTCTTTATTGTATATGTTAGTGTTTCTTGAATCAGCTGCTTGGAACAGAAGTCCAGATATCATCAATCCATCAAGTTGGAGAAATCTATTCTCCAAAGCACCAGAAGGCAAGACAAGAAGCAATGGATGAAAACTAATCAAGGACAGAAGCAACCTGGAATTAAGGAGGAATTTCCTGACTGTGAGAACAATTAACCCGTGGAACAGCTTGCCTCCAGAAGTTGTGGGTGCCCCAACACTTGAGGTTTTAAAGAAGAGATTGGACAACCATTTATCTGAAATGGTATAGGGCTTCCTGTTTGAGCAGGGGGTTGGACTAGAAGACCTCCAAGGTCCCTTCCAACTCTATTATTCTGTTAGTCTGGTCTAAGTCCAACATGCTACAATATATGAGAAGTCTATTAAATAATTTGAAAATATGATCCTTCCTTCCATTTCTGTTTATTTAAAATTGCGCATAAGAAATTATCGTATTAAATTGGAATTATGCTCTTCACAAATTATTTTGTAGCTGTGGTTTGTGAGCCATCTTTTGCGGAAACTTTCTTCACCATGCTATTTCATTTCTTCTCTTAGAGATTCTTAGATGGATTTGTGGATTGAGCAATGAATGCTTTACGCACTGTCATGAGGAAAAGATGGTGCATATATCTCTCATTGTACCCATTGGACTGGTCAAAACATTCTTTTCCTCCTAACAATTAAGTATAAAAGAAACAGGGAAAAAAAAAAACGCAAGGACAGGATAACCATTTACTTGCTTCCTGAAATTACTATTTAGTTTCTAGCATGTTATGTAGTGTCTTGATGTAGTTTCTGAATGACATAAGGATCTATTCAAGGAGAAACAAAATGGAGGGAGATACTTCAGCTAGGACTGCCTAGTATATTTGGTGTGTATTCTTGCACATTATATGATTCATTGCTATTTCTTGGATTTAGGATTCCTTTGATGTGGCATTCCAGTAAAGGGTTTTCCAAGGCTACACTATTCATCTCTCTACTTCACTTACAAAGATAAATTGACTTAATTCTGTTGCTTTTTCTTTCTTTTATATAGTGCTTTATTGCTGGGTTGTAAGCTGCCTAAGGTTTAGCCAGCCATGATAAGCCCTGCTGGATATAGAAGTTATGAGATCAATTGCAAGGATGTTAGAAAGATTACTCATTACCTCCAAGAACTCCCATTCAAGTCTGATTGGGTGGCACCTGGCTGAAAGATTTAGGATGGAGAGACAAGGAGTGATGAAAGAGAAACTCGATGGGAAATTGTAAATAATTGTAATTCAATGAACTGCACCCAGAAGATTGCAGCCCATGTAGAAAGGAAAAAGGTCTTCTTTGCACAAGCAATTGGAAATATGTGTGGAGGTTAGAGGATTTTGATGGGATCAAATCTCCAGACAAGAATGAAATTGTGGGGGAACTCTGAGAAGAAGTGGTACGAATACATGGACCCAAGACCTTTGTTCTCAAATTGATGCTGATACGTGAAACCCCTTTTTCTCCAGCATCAACCTTAACTCTTTGTTCTAACATCCAGAGAAATTAGCCATTTCCCTCATCATTCCAGAACTCATCCCTCAATGTTGCTCAGTTCCCAATTTGTTGAAAAATAATGGGCATAACCCAAGAGACCTGTGAGTTGGTTTGCTTTTATTTAGCCAGCAGCCAAATACATAAGTGTGTAAACTATTTACAAGGATTTGGATCCAACACCGTGAGAGACAAATCTAGGAGGACAACGCATGTTTGAGCTTTCAACGTTTACCTGAAGTTTTCTCTATGCTCTTCTGGGTGAACTTCATTTCAAGGGCTTCATGGATGACCATACAGCTAAATGTTTCCCCATTTTCCCAAGATGATTTAGAGATTGTGAGTTTGCTATACATGAAGTGGGAATTGCCTGTCTTTTCCTTCACAGCTGGGGTGTTGACATAGTCATCTTCTGAAATGCTATTGCCATTCTTTAGCCACTGGACATCTATATCCTCTGGATAAAAGTCACGCACAAAGCAGGTGAGGATAAGCGAATTGCCAGGGATGGGAGGGTAGATATGGATGATGGGTGCCTTGCTCTTTTCTTTGTGAACATGGAAAGAAAAAAAAAAGATAACGTCACATATTTCATTTAGGATAAAGTAATGGAACTGGGTTCCCGTGTATGAAGTCATGATTTATTGTAGATTGCCAGGCTCTGAGGACTGGTTTACTTGTGAGATTGACAGATTAGCTACTGTCACTTACACAAAATTGACCTTGAGTTTATGTAGCATTGAAAATCCAAAATAGAACTTAATGTGGTAGAAGAAGCCCAGGCAATATGAGGAATTAATATTAGGAAGATCGGACATGGAAGTCCTCTAAAGAGCTGAACTTCAAAACCCCACTTGGGTACATCATTTCACCTAGTCCGTCTCGCTTTTGGTCGGTGATGTGCCTGTTATATCAGCAGTGCTTATGCTTGGAAGATTATTCCATCAAATGCTCTATAAGGATTTCCCCTTAGGCTTCCCCTACGATCCTCCAGTGCATCAAGAGGAAATCAAAGTCTATGCTGGGGACATTTCACATTGGGGATGGGATCATAGAGATTCTGTATCTCACTTTGTTCTAACTCCTGGCTTGGATTGGATCCAGGACATAAATAGTCCTGAATTCTCTAACAGTGTCATAGGCTCCTAGCAGTGCCAAGATTCTACATTATGGCTGTGCAGAAGCAAGGGATGCCATATCAGTGGCCCCAGGTGCCATGATATTAAGGGAGAGAACAAATGAAAGCTCCATGACTGGAGACTATTGACGTCAACTAAACATTCTGTTCTATATCTCCAGCCTTGTGAATTGCAAATGTTCTCATTTGTGCTCGGAGAGCCACTTTGCTTCCTCCTTACCTCTCTTCTTGGAAATTGTCTTCACGATGGGACCAGGCAAACCTGGATATTCCACCGAACAGGTGAAAGTCTCTCCTGATTCCCAATCATGGGCAGAAACAGGGAGGTGGCCGACAGCAGTGAAGGTCCCATTGTTTTCCTCGGTCACCGCCACCAATTCTGCATGTGCGGCGACTTCCTTCTCGCGTGACCAGCTTATTTTCAACCCCTCTTCCTGTTGTAGATTGACAACCACGCAACCAATCTTGGCATTTATGTTGATGTACAAATCTTTTGGTTGAGGGGGCAGAAGGTAGGTGGCAACCCCAGAGGAGAACTGACTGGTGGCATCTATGGATACAAAATTCATGTCAGTGCTTACATCCCCCTCCCTTCTCCCTTAGTCCCTTACTCTAATTTGTTCTCTTCTTTCTAAATCAGCTCTTGAGCTTCTGCAAGTAAAATGTTGCCTGTTTTTACTTGTGAATTGTCAAGTGTATGTCCTATTATCTGGACCCAATTGACTATGGCTTAGTGTTTCTCCCTTTCCAAAGACTTGATGTTATACTAAACCTAAAGCAAAGATCCCTCAGAATCATCTTTTAAAAGAAGAAAGCATGTTATTAGTAAAAAAATATAGACTTCAATATCTATAACCAAGTAACTGGAACAAGGACAAGCCAAAAGGAACTGTTGTCTACTTGGACTAGTAATTTATGGTGAATATCTGTAGCTTGGGTGCAGGATGAGGGTAAAAGTTTGTTCTTCAAGCTTGTGGGTTGGTTTCCAAATGTTTGACCCCGCCCAATCAACTCATGTAACTGGCCCCACCAGTTCACCTCCCAATGACCCTGACTTGATCACAAGAGCCATCATAAGATTCGCTAATGACTCACAGCTGACCCTCACTTGACACACCCATACACCTGAAGCCCTTATAAACAGAAGAACAATGACATCCCCTAAACCCCACTGAAGATGTTACCTGGCCTGGTAATGAAATGTTCAGAAACCAAACCACAAGCTTGGAAAACAAACCTCCTCCCTCCAATAATATGTCTCATAAGATGTTGTCCCATGGTCTGGTTGTTCTACTTATTGCTAAATTGCTCATTCCTATCTCTAGGTCCTTCATATTCACGATGAAATGCAGACTGTGGTTTGTATAATGGGGAATGGACAAAGAATCAAACATCAAGGTGGAGGATAGCTAATCCTTTTATGAGACCTTCCCTCTTATAGTGAAATCATATGGGATACTATGGGTAGTATTCCATATGTTGGTCTATTGTAATTATGAAATTTTCCTCTTTTGAACATATGAACCTTGGTTCATTTATGCTGTGCCCGAAAAATTGCAATAGGGATTTTCTTGAATACCTAAATATTAGCTGGCAATGAAATTTGTTATGTTAATGAAGTTTATCTGGAAATGGTATGGATTTCACTATAAGAGGGAAGGTCTCATAAAAGGATTAGCTATCCTCCACCTGGGTGTTTGATTCTTTGTCCATTCCCCATTATACAAACCACAGTCTGCATTTCATCATGAATATGAAGGACCTAGAACTACTCATTTCAAAAGATCTAAGCCCCAGAGCTCACTGTAACAGCATTGCCAAAAAGGCATTAACAGTTGTTAACCTATTTTTGCGAAGCTTCTTCTCTGGTAACATTGAACTGCAAACCAGGGCATACAGAATCTTCACCAGACCAATTCTCAAATGCAGCTCATCTGCCTGGAATCCACACTGTATAACAGACATTAATACAATTGAGCAAGTCCAGAGGTATTTCATGAGAAGAGGACTCCACTCCTCTGCTCGCAATGCTACCAGGCTGGAAATTTTGGACCTGGACAACCTAGAACGATGCTGCCTATAGTCTGATCTAAGCTTAGTACACAAAATTGTCTGCTACAATGTTCTACCTGTCAATGACTACTTCAGCTTCATTCACAATAACACATGGGCAAACAATAGATACAAACTCAAATTAAACAGAAAACACGACTTCAGCAACTTGCTACATCCTCAAACCCCCAAAACTTGAACCTTAAACTGACTATCGTGGGCCTCACTCCTTTCCTAAGAGGTCTGTAAGGGGGCGTGCATAAGCGTACCACCGTCCCTGTTCTACTGTTCCCATTTATTCGTACTCATTTATTATGTATATACTTATAGCTGTTTATACTTATGTTTATATGTTATGTTCATACTTATACTTGTTTTTCTCATACATGTTTGGCAAACTAAAGTAAATAAATAAATGACTACCTTCACATTTCCTGGCTCTGCTTTTTGTCCTTGTTTGGGATGCTTCGTGGGTTACCTGGCAGTAGTAAGTATTTCCTTGCAACCAATCTGCTTGGGTGATGTTGACGACACTGTTGGTACTGAAAGTGTACTTATTTGCATCACGCCTGGGAGGTTCAGTGTAGGGAGCCAGTAATCCAGAGTGGCTGCCTACCAGCCAATCAACTTTAATCTCTTTGGGGTAGAAACCCTGAATGAAGCACACCAGTGCTATGTTTCCATCACTGCCTTTTGGGTTGCAAGAAGAATGGAGCAGATGGACTTCAGGAGCTACCGGTTCATGGGCTTCACATCCTGTGGGCATTAAGAGTGACTTTTAGTGTTTAAGGATGACCTACCTGTTATCGCTTGAAGTCTCTTCCGATTTAGATGACCCTCTTAGAAATATTGAACAACGACAACAAAAAGACCAATGAAAGACTGATTGCATTGATTAGCAGACTCTAAAATAAAACAGTCCTTAATTAATAATGTGGGATGCAGTGGCTCAGGGGCTAAGATGCTGAGCTCGTTGATCAGAAAGGTTGGCAGATCGGTGGTTCGAATCCCCAGCGCCGTGTAATGGAGTAAAACTCCTGTTACTTGTCCCAGCTTCTGCCAACCTAGCAGTTTGAAAGCATGTAAAATGCAAGTAGAAAAATAGGGACCACTTTGGTGGGAAGGGAACAGTGTTCCGTGCTCCTTCGGCATTTAGTCATGCCGGCCACATCACCACAGAGATGTCTTTGGACAGTGCTGACTCTTCAGTTTTGTAACAGAGATGAGCACCACCCCGTAGAGCTAGAAACAACTAGCACAAAGCAAGGGGAACCTTTACCTTTAATTAATATTAATATTTAATTAATTATTATCAATATTTAATTAATTAATTATTAATAATAATATTTAATTATTAATAATTATTAATTAATATTAATAACTATAGACCCCTCACATCTTTGACATAAATTGTTTCAACTTCTACCCCCAAAACAACACTATAGGGCACTGCACACCAGAACAACTAGACACAAGGACAGTTCCCCCCCCCCCAAATGCCATCACTCTGCTAAACAACTAATTCCCACAACAGTGTCAAACTATTTCTCATCCTTGTGTGTCCAATCACACTTGGCCAATAAAGAATTCTATTCTATTCTATTCTATTCTATTCTATTCTATTCTATTCTATTCTATTCTATTCTATTCTATTCTATTCTATTCTATTC